CCTCGCTGCCGCACCAGGCCGGGCACCGCCGGGGCCGCCGCCGCGTGGGCTCTCCCGTGATGTTTTTAATTACGGCCGGGATGAATCAGGAAAACGCTGAGAAAGGGTTGGGCGGGCTTTGACAGAAACCGCTGGTTTTCGGCGGCCGGGTGCGTGTTTTCGTGCTTTCTCCACAGGGTCAGAGCCTGCGGGGGTTGCGCTCAAAGGCGGCGGAGCCTCCGCGCCCAGCCGTGCCCGCGCCGCGGAGCGGGGCCGAGCCGCGGAACGAGGCATCCCGGCGGGGATACGGGCAGCGCTCCCGCCCGCCGCGGGTTGCGGCGGCGACGCCGAAACCTTCCCAGCCCTGCAACATGAGCAGTAAATGCTCTTTCGCTCCTTAAAGGCTGGTGGATAAATGCTGAACTACAGAAGGCGCAATTAAACGGACGGCTCCCCAGCAGCCGTTAGATGCTGTGAGAACTGTGTCCGCACGCTCACCGAACGCGCTTCTCTCGGGAGTGGCATTCCTGCCTGACTCCCTTTGGCACCTGGGACTGCATACCGCGGCTTGCAACTAGAAACCTGCATGTGCTGGGACTATCCCGTCTCAGGGATAGAAGAAAGGAGGGAGATTTTCCAGTGCTTGGAATGCAGAAAGCAGATGTGAAGCTATTTCTGTGAGCTGATGGACTGCCGTTCACCTCCTGTACAAAATCGGTGGCGTGGCCGCCTATTCCATGAGCTCCAGAGAGATCCCTCAAAGTGATGTGCTGGACATACCATCGGTAGCAAAGCTCCTTCACTTTCACACCACCCCATTACCTAAATTGAATTGCATCAAGAACAAGGAGCCTGCACACATGGGGGAGCTTATGCTTTCTCTTGGAGTGGTACTTTAGGGTCCGCCGTTGCTCTTGCATTGCTCCCCGGTTTTGGGTGCAGCAGAGTTGAGCAGCAAAGCACAGGTACATCCATGGCAGCTGAGTCGGGCACAGCCCGGTTGTACAGACTGCCTCAGCCAAAGCCCTTCCAGGGCAGAGTGAAGGCATGCCCGAGAGGGGCTCCTGCCTTCAGCAGACAGCTTAAAAGATGTTTTATGCATTTCCAGCTTAAGAAAGCATGAAAAAGACTTGATTTGGCAAGCGTAGATTAATTTAGTTGGAGTGGAGCCTGAAGCCCAGGTAACTCTTTCGCTCACATCCATTTTTTGGTATGTGCAAGGGCTGAGCCCTCTCTCCAGGACAGCCAGGCCCAAGGGGCAGTGGTGCCTCCGGGGCAGCCCCGTGGTGCCGCTGGTGCCCCGAGGGGCTGAGCCTCGGCAGGTCCCAGTTCTCCCCGATTTCCATGTCCATGAGGTTTTTGTGGTGAGTGACCACGTGTAAAACCAGAGTCAAGTAGCTGTTACAAATAGAGTCCAATGGAAAACGGCAGCAAAAGCAGATAACCAATGCTGTGTGGAATATAAGTGTCTCTGCATTGTTCTCATGGTCCTTAGGTTGGTGTGTGCATCACCAAGCAGCCTTCTCTCCAGCTTTTTTTAAACACAGCCTTCTTGATTATAATATCTCACTATTTCCACTGCCTTTTGCAAACAGTGTTTTCTTTGGTGAAGGTAGTAAGGGAATGCCAGCATCCATTAGTTGAGCTCTCATTTTACTTCTTACCAGACCTCATTTATAGAGTGGTTCCAGCCAAGCCTGTGACGCCCATGCCCTGTTTTTGCACCAAAGCACAGGAAAAGGAACAACCCCAGAAGACGAAAGTTCACCAGTCTGACAAAGGAGAGAGGTTTAAAACAAAGGCTGTGGTTTACAGCTCCTGCGGCGCAGATAGTGGCATTGGCTTGCAGGAGGTGGAGTAGTTGCATGATCATTTAAAACAAATGAAAAATAGGTGTGAGAAAAGGATGAGCAGAATATAGTTATCTGTGAGAATCTGGGATGAAGACTGGAGGAAGCTGCCAGTCACCAGATGGGAAAGAGCATTTGAAGTAAAAGCCCTGCGATGGGCAGCTCCTGCAGGTTCCCCCTCACCGGTTGGGTGGCGGCTCCACCAGCGCCACACGTGTGTGCTCCCCACACATCCTGCACTCAGGCCACTGCGGGGGGAAGGAGCTCTGGACTGCACAGACCCAATCTCCAAGGAAAGCAAACCCGAATCTCATGTGTTACGAAGGCAATGTGTGCTAACATGTAGTTTGGGAAAGCAAAATTTGACCTTTCTTACTACTGTGATGTTAGGGAGGACATTAGCGTGCCATCCTCCCATGTGGGCCTTCCCACCATTGTGAACAGGGTTTCTAAGTTCAGGATTTTTCCAGGGTGCAGCTTCCCACATCCACATCAGCACCAACATGCTGTGCACACTCTGGAGTCTGACTTGTGTAGCTTAGCTGTTGCAACGTGATTCTGTCCCAGAGGAGTGGTGAGAGAAGAAACCTGGCATTAACCTTTGCTCTCTATGAAATGAAATAGTTTCTCTGCTTCAAAAAGAAAAAAGGAAAAAATAATAATGAAAGCTTATTAGCCAAGACAGCTATACAAGCAATGGCGCGTTAGGAGGAAGTAACTATTAACATAACTCTTTTTGTTTCTTCTGACGTTTTCCTACAGGTTTTAATCCTTGGACCAGGCCAATTTCTAATTCTAGGATGTATACATCTTTTGCAAAATAAGACACAAAAATGGCATCTTAATTTACAGCAAATTCTGTTGGCACTGCTTATCTTTGAGATTTTCCTTTTTTTCTTTTTCCTCTGTGGAGACATTTTCTTGGTGATCCAGAAATAGCCCATTAGCTTGTGTCGCAGCAGGGTTTTTTGTGTTTTGTTGTTGTTTGTATTTAACTTGGTTGGTCTTGGAGTTAATGGACGGAAGCAGCGAGATCTGTTCTGTGTTTCAGTACAACGGTGTGTGCTTGCAAGGCCCCAGTGGTGTTCCTGGACGGGATGGAAACCCGGGAGCCAACGGGATCCCTGGGACACCTGGGATCCCAGGACGGGACGGGCTGAAGGGGGAGAAGGGCGAGTGCATGCGTGAGAGCATCGAGGAGTCCTGGACACCCAACTTCAAGCAGTGTTCATGGAGTGCTCTTAATTATGGCATCGATCTTGGGAAGATAGCAGTAAGTCAGCTTTGCCTAGGCTGCTGTGCTTCACCACTACAGCAGCCTCTAGATCTGCCTCTATGAGATGGGTAGCACCAACTGTACGGGTTTCCTATGAGAGCCTTTTTCTACATGTAAAGGTGAACTTCTCAAATGTTTAGCTACTTCGGAGTCATCTCAGCTGTGTTTCACAGCCATGTGCCCATTTCATTTTTGTAACTGTCCTTCAAAAGAATGATGTGGCTGGTGTAAAAATACATTTAGAAAACCAGATCTGTAACTGCAAGGCTGAAAGTCACGCTACCAAAAAAGTAGCTCCAGCTTGTCCAAAACAGGGCAATTACCATTTCAGTCATAAAGAACAGGAGAGATGTACATCTTTAATCTTTTAGTTGTAACTGTCTTTATACCTACTGCTTCAAAACGGTTGTTCACTGAAACCCAGTTGCAGATGCTACTGCAGAAAGGCTCAGCATTGTTCAGGAGCAGAATTGCCAAGTGTTACCTTAACTAACTCAAACAGTCTGTCCTCTACTGCAGCCCTGGATAGGGAACTTTCAAACACAGTGGTGCAAACGTAGAAGGGAAGAAATCCCAGTTCAATTCCAGCTATGAAGCCACACCTAGAATGGTTGGAGTAATTTAACGGCTATCACTGTGGCTAGAGTGAGAATCAACTTAGAAAAGTTGACATTTCTCACTGCCGTGTACTTGTGGAACTGTCCCTAGCTTCCCGCCTCCCCCCCACTCCACCATGATATCCAGCGTTACAAAGACAGGATAACAACCACTTAAAAACTTGAACATGTTTATTTTTCAGTTGTGGAGCTTTTATCAGGGTTTAAGCTTCTCACAAATGTTGTGATAATTGTTAAATCCAGGATTTCTGGTAACAAGAGACAGAAATTGTACTGTCCTCTTATGCAAGGATGTGAGTGTACCTTCCAGACAGCTCATACCCCTTTACATAAACCCCAGAAGGTAACTAGGTTACCAACTTAACAGCAGATACTATCTAAATAAGAATTTCCACAGTCCCCCTTCTGCCTTACCATCTATGAGGTGCTGCTTCTGATTTACATCTTTGCACTGTATGGTATTTGCCAGGATCTACTTTTTTCTTTTTTTTCCCCAGAGGTTAGGGACTAAAGAGAATAGACAAAATGTTCTGAAATAAATATAAATATATTCCTAAATATATATATACACAGCAAATAAATAGGTTCAAAACCAGAGGTTGCTACTAAAGCATTTTTATCTCCTCTTAGGAATGTACATTTACAAAGATGCGCTCGAACAGTGCCCTCCGTGTTCTCTTCAGTGGATCACTTCGGCTAAAATGCAAAAATGCCTGTTGTCAGCGCTGGTACTTTACTTTTAATGGAGCAGAATGTGCTGGGCCACTTCCTATTGAAGCTATAATATATTTAGATCAAGGAAGCCCAGAGCTGAATTCTACTATTAATATACACCGAACTTCTTCAGGTATGTATGCTGAGACTATACAAATGGAGATGGAGTAGAAACCAGTAGCAAATCTGGTGCAAATGTACTATGCAGAGAGTACAGTCTGCCTTAGAAAGTCAAAAGACAGAATAGTGGCCAGCTAACACTTGTTACTCTTCCTATGCTGTCTTACAGTTGACTATCGATAGCACCAATATTAGAATTACTCATTAAGTGGTACTTTATTACTGTGGTATTTTTAACAGTACTTACATCCTGCAATTTAGAAATGGAAAAGGTATCTATCCAGACAGTTCTACTGATCTCTGCTACAACATGAATAGAGAGATGTTTTGTGCTGTATCAGCATATGGAGAAACTGCCTTACTGCCAAGTAGACAGTGCCATCCTGGCTTAAAGTACTAGCACTTGTACACTACCTGTGCATAAAATTAGAGTCCTCCTGGAATTTCTATTGTAATTTCATCTGGGGCACAGAAGTACCTCCAAAGTGAAATACCTAGGAGTATCTAGCTTGAGTTGCTAAGTAAAAGGCAAATTAGTAAAGTCATTCAACGTAAAAGGAGGCGATAATAGGAAAAGGTGACTAACATTGAGTCTGTACTCTTTCTCAATTTTTCTCCCCGTACTATTGCATGACTGCATGAAATCTAACATGTAGAGCTATGATAGGTTTTTTTCACCAAGGAGTAGGACACACCTGCCTTTATTAACCCACCTCCAACTAGTGGTGCTAGAGGGGAAAAGCAAAGGGTAACAGAAGCACAACTTTGTATGGCAGCAGTGCTTTAGGAGTGGAAAAGATTACGGGGTGGCCATAACCTTTGCAGGGCTTACCTGTGGAAGCTGGTATGGCTCTGTCTGTGTCTCCCCTCCCCAGCACTGCTAAAAACATGCCTGGATGGGATTGAAGCCATATCCCAGCTACCAGTCTGTAAATCTGGACATTGAAAAAAGTAGGTATGCCTCCCACTTAGCCATCCTGTGATCTGCTTCAGGTACTGCAAGATGTCAAGAAGCACCATGGATAAAGGCAGCGCATGACTGCAACCTATGTTGCCACATCTCTAAGAAATAGTTTTTATTTCTAAAAACTGTATCCAGATTAAACTAAATAGCATGATCTTGGAATGAACTGCTGTTCTTAAGTACTTGGTTCTACCTTCAGTTAAGAAATACAGTGATTGTGTGCGCTGTAACCTGATTTTTGTCTTTAACCAGTGGAAGGTCTGTGTGAAGGGATCAATGCCGGCTTGGTGGATATTGCCATCTGGGTGGGGACTTGCTCAGATTATCCACGGGGAGATGCTTCTACTGGATGGAATTCAGTCTCCAGAATCATCATTGAAGAACTGCCAAAATAACTTTCTCTCCCTTTTTATAATCTCTTCCTTTTTAAAAAATTTTGTACAATTTTCTTCAGAATTTATTTCTATAGAGTTGGATGCAAGCATTTGACAGAAACGAACCAAACTCTTGCATCTGTAGTCTTCGTCTAGCCTTTTTTTGCACGTCGCAGAGGCTTTTTATAATAATCATTTTAGAATATAAATATCAAACCCAAGTTCATAAACTTTTTTAATTCCTTGTTTGACATATGAAAATATACACCATCATTTAAAGAATTAACTGTAACTTTTTGTATCAAATAAATAAAACCTTTAAAAAAAATCCAGGCAATTTTATTGATCATCAAACTGTTTACGGTTATTTTACAGGGTGTTATGATACACAATTTTTTTAGAAGACTTCATAGAAAGTTCTAAGAAAGTAAAGTCGGGTCTTGGCTTTAAGTCTTCAGAAAACCTATGTAACATTTACTCCCAGGATGCTCTGCTGTTATAGTCTTAAGTCTCTCAACAAATACCTGGTGACTTAACTGTGACCTAAACGATGTTAAACCTAAACTGACGTAAACCTTAACTGTAACCGTAAGTGTTAAATACCTAATTCTGAATAGCTAAGTAAAAATAAACTATCTAAGGTCTCCATTCCTCTTCTGCTTCCTGACAGACTGGATTTCAGTATAAATATCTATTATTGGTCTCTACTATTAGCATGCATATACTAAATAATTTTACAGTTTCAAAACTTAGTTTCATTGCTCCAATAAAGTAATTCTCCTGGATTTAGCCTTTCAGATATGTGCACTCACTTTGGTGTTAACTAAAAGCTAGATATATTAAATAGTTTGGAAGATACAGAAATATGGCAGGTTGAAATGCCTTGGCTTTCAAAAAATGTACTGGTAAAGTGAAAGAATGATGTCACAGCTATTTGACCGCAGCTTCCAGCCTGGACAAGTGACAACACTGATCATGCCAACACAGCATTAGCTTCAGTGCTTTAAGTATTTTCTTCCAAATGCAACAAGTGATATACTCAAATATTTTTTAAAAATTGTAGCCTCTAAAGGAAAACAACAGTCATGTTTATATCACAAAATAAATTTTGCATTAACAAAATAACCCAAGAAATAGCATGTACAACATGCAAAGTCTACACTCTTCCCAGAAATTAAAAGAAAAAAAACCCCATTAAATCTGAGATAAGGAATTAATTTCAGTTATTTAGGATTAAATCTCATCTTTTTTTCAGGTTGTAATATTTTCCTCAGGCATCCCTCAAATTGGTAGCTCTTGTCAAGAATGCCAGAGGAACACACCTGCAGCTCGGAGAGCATTCAGGCTTTCCCAACTGCAAGTTTATGTGTGATATTGCTGCAAGCCAGCAAATTATACAGCTGGCATTTTGTCTCCGAAGAACTGTGCTGTTTTCATTGGCTTATATGATGGGTTTTAAGGTATCTGAAAACAAACAAGTTACTATGAGCTAAGCTACGGTGTGAATTTACAACATGTCAGTTAACATACAGTAACTGATTGTGTAGATGTACGTAGCCTGTCTTTGCATTTATCCTGGAGCATAAGTAGGCTGTTCTGGGCCTAGAGCACACTAATCCAGGGTAGTAAGTGCACAACTTTTACTCTTTTTGTACATTCATGTCTTCACAACATTTTTTGGATCCTGGATGGGAGTTAACTCAGTGTTCCACTAAATTAATTCTGCATACTAGAAAACACAAAACCAAGTAAACCTTCCAAAGGCAGAAGTTGGTAGCTCTTAGGGATCTATATAGTAATTTGCATGGTAGAGATCCAGTAAATTTGATCTTCAGCTAAATACAATGGAAACTTTCATAACAAAAACCAGAACCAGCCATAAAGGCCAAATGCCCTTTTCAGATGAGATTATCAACTGTATCAGTAGAGGGGATGGGATCATGGAGGAGGAAGTGTAAATTATTAATGAAGTTAAGTATACACAAAATATTGTATGTGGCAATAGTATCAACAGAAACAAGCAAGTGGATTCCTGAATTAAGATTCAAAATATTGAGCAGTTTCTGTAGTCTTCCAGATTTTAATTTAAAATTGAAACCAATTCCCTAATTTGTTAATTTTTGACAAAAAACCCCTTAGTTCTGCTTTAGGGTAGAGAAATTTCCTGCTTAACAGAAGACTAAGTGATTATTCAGGTGTTTTGCTGGGTAGTATTCTCTGCTCCTTACAAAACGGATTATTTCCCTCTACCTGCTGAGTAATCTTAACTAAGGAGGAAACAAGTTAGCTAAGTGATACTTTTTAGATACTTCATACTAACAGGAGAAGATGTTATGGCCAGTAATGTATTTTCTTAAAGAATAACTAAACCCCCAAAATAAACCAAGATCTCCAACAAGTACACATCCTTGACAGCAATTATTAGCATGCAAATAAACATCGTTATTACACAAATTTACTGAGATGTACTGTAGTTTATCACTAAGTTAGCAATCAATATATTCTTATAGTTCTTTCCTTCAACCAAATCAGAAGACATTAATGGATTGTTTTGGCTTTTTTAAAAAACATCCTGTGCACAATATTTTTTGGACTACTTATAGATTTTTTTTTTGGCCCAGAGAAAATTATTGAAAATAAGTAAGGTCATATTTGTTATTACAGTGGTTTGAAAACTGCATCACTGTGGGATTACTAGGAAAAAACCCTCATTTTTAAAAATGTAAGCCTTCTTTTAAATATGCATTTACCTAGTAATATTTGGTCAGATGCATCAGTAATGGAGACAGAATCTCATTCAGAGAGAGAGAGAGAGAGATATTGAGAGAGAAGAGAGCAGACAGGGAAGAGAGAAAAAATGAAGTAAGTGGACAGCAATGCACACAACATACATTTTGGTCTGGTGCTAAAAGCAAGCCAAAACCCACAATGCAAGTCTGTCCTGATATGAGACAAGAACTGGGTTTCGTCAGAATGGCAATTATTCAAACCCAAGTATGGACAGCTGTTTTATGAAACAATTTGAGTTTCCAAACTGCACCCCGCTGAGGCAGCATTTCTGTGTTGGATGAGCAATGGAATTTGAAGCATTATGTATCCTGAAATCTGACAAATAACACAGAGGTGGACTCAGAAGACTTTGCTGTAAACAAGTACATACATGCTTTTTTCATGAGACTCAGATAAAGATTTAAGAAAGTTTTGACAGACCCCAGAGTTGCTTTTCTATGAAGTTTTCCACTTCTGTAGGAGTAGAATCTGACCAACTGTTATCTTGAGACTTGTCAAAACAGATTAGTCAGTTATTCCAGGCAAGTCAGGATGTACTGAATTGCTGCACAGCTGCCCTCACCCAGTCACAGTGCTATTATTTCACAGTTGCAGAGACATCTGTTTCAAGCAGACATAGCTGATTGAGACAGGAAGGCAGCAGTGCAGGAACATTCAGCAGAAGAAATGTTGGCAGGATTTTCCTATCTCCAGGTTCTTTCCTCAAAATACTAGATCATTTCACAGTGTCAAAAAAGACTGCAGAACTAAATCTTTCCCAGATCACATATAAAAAGAGAGAATAGATTCCTTACGAACACAAGCTCCTACCTTTAATTATTTTGTTTTCTAAAATCAAGTAAAAAACCAGACACATTTTCATAAACGACAAAGGTAATACAGCAGGCAGGAGTCACTCTGATCACATTGGGGATAATTCCTTTGTAAAATCCATGAATTCCTTCTTTCCTTTAAAGACAAAGAAAAACATTTTGTTTTACTTAATGCCTTTTAATAGAAATGAGACCTAAACCAAAGTCTGGCATTTTTCTTCCTGTGCTCTCAACTGAGAGGAGTACTTCAGATTAGGAATAACAATTTCAGAGTAATTTCTTCCTATAGTGTTTGAAGATCCATAATATATATAATCTTAATCCGTCATTTTATCTGATGAATATATAATGGTATTCTGTTGGTCGGTTATTTAGCCTAGGGTTTGGGTGGTTTTTGTGGGCTTTTTTTGGTATTGTCTTAAGTAGGAGGCAATTTACTACCTTTCTTCATGTCACAAGAACTGGTTAAAGTAACTTAAAATTTCTGCAGCCTGTTCCAAAAAGCATTTACATATTTAATCTCACTGAAGCCAGAAGGGCTGAAAGGCTTGGTGGTTTTCGGTCATGTGACAGCATGTGAGCAGAGGGTCAACATAACTAAGAAAAGTCCACATTTATTTTCAGAGAATTAAAGCACCTCCTCCAGAATTTTGATTACACTGGCCAATAAACGAGAATTTAATTTTCCAAATTTGAATCAGAGTATTCATGTTAAAAAAGACTTTTAATCTCAGCTGCCTGTTTTCCAGCTTCATAGAGGCCTAGGACACCTGGAGCAACTGAGTACAGTTAACACAGGCTCTGGAAAGTGTTTGGGTATGGTTTACATTACCCTCCCTGAGGCTCTAGGTTGCATTTGTTTCATAATGAGTACAGCAGCGGCCCCAGAAAGGCTGTACACATTCACAATTTATCGGAACTAATAAGCCTTCCTATAGACTGCAGCACTGAAGGGCACAGTGCTGAGACATCGGAGCTATTTTCGCTTTGAATTGGCTTCAGTCAAAATGCTGGTACTGCCTCTGAGTACAGGGGTGGTCCTGGAACCATACAGCCTTATTCACTCCTTGAGGTGGCACCTCTTAATACTCCAGGAGTTAGTTGACTCCCTTCACGTCTCTCTAACAATATGCTCCAACTCAGAAACATTGTCCAAGGCAAGACTATTGGTTGCATACTGCAAAGGTGGCCCACCTTAGTAACTAGAGTTCTGTGTGAAACCTCTCACATGCCCTGTGGAGCTGAGGGAAGAGGGTTTGTGAGAAGATATGTGTGAGATATCTGTTCTCTAAAGGTCCTACAGGAAACTAGGACTAGACTAGAAATGCAATCAGGGACATCAGTATAAACAGCTCTGGCTAGCTCACTTCCTCCTGCCAGCAATCTGGATTAGCCACAACTCTCAGCAGCACAACACTCCTGTTGTATGTGATAATCTAAAGCAGTTAAAGTGAGGCTTCATTCTTTAAGAGCCCCAGAACAGCCAACTCAATGTTGTTTTTCTAAGCTGTAACTGAAATTTGCTGGGGAAGAGAGAAGGGAGACAGAATAAACAGAAGCCTGCAGGCTAGCACTGATCCTCTCCCATCTCCTCATTTGCCCTTAGATTATTGCTATTAGTGGCATCTTGTACAAAATGACTTTGTACAGCTAACATTTTGCTTGCTCTGAGCTTTACTAGTTATGCAAGTCAGCATGGAAGCCAGTAAACATAGTTCTGATTCTGTAAAACTAACTTTTGAGGACATAAGCTTTAAATTCTTCATGCCTTACCTCCATGTCCTGTGGATCACATCAAACACACCTGAATATGTATTATGCTGATCTTGAAGACGAGCTCGCACAACTTGATAGGGATATGTTGCTGACACAGCGAATATTTTGGATACAGCTGCCATCATTATGTATTCTGCGGTGTTCTAAAAGCAATAAAAATTACCAAGCTTGCCATAGATATAGTTTAAATTAGACAATTTCCAAAAAACTTATTTTTTAAATGTTGAATAATACTCTAGATTTTTCCCCCTTCTAATATACACATTAAAAACATGTCAACATTTACTATATACAGTGCTACAAGTAATTAATTGTAAAACGTGTGTTGTGCCTTCTTATTTCTATCAAGCGAAACACTTCTTCTAAAAATAACTACCTTTGCCCAACTTATACCTGACCAGTTTTCTGTGCAAGTGGTTAAGACCGCCACCTATGGTTCCATAAAGTAAGACAGAAAAAAAAATAAAATCATTCCTCCCTCTAAAATTCTCAAAACACTTGTCAAAATAAGAAGTTGGTACAGAACAGCGCTAACGAGCTACCTGTTCCTAAGAAGTGAAAAAGCATTACTTCCTTTTACATATTCTTCCAATTAATATATCGATACTTTGTACATTTTGCTGTTCTATGACCCAGACAAATGGAATAAATTTTCAATCATTCACGTGCCACAACACATTTTTATTGCCAAGAATCGTACCAATTTTGTATCTGATACTCTGTTTCTATACTTGTTGTATCTCAGTTTCAAATCCTCATATGCCATGAACTGAAGCGCTCCATGTGAGGTTCCAAACAGACCAGGCACAAATCCCTAAAAAAAAACAAGGAATAAACCGAAGTTAAATGGAAATACAGAAAAACCTCTACAACTTCACAGAGCTCAGCTTACACACATATGTATGTCCGCCATTACTTTACAAATTATGACTGCACAACTGTCGCTGTGCAGTATGACTCAAAGCTGATTCTGGGTTGGTGTTCTTCATGACAGGCATCACACAGAAGTGTTAATATCACTTTTCTCCAAATAACATATAGGATAAAGACACTTAATGAGTGAGCAATATAAAAACCAACTGGCCTAGGGACTCCACTTTATAAAGCACAAGCACCGGTCTTCAAAAGCTGGTAATATGGATCAGGATTGTAGGAGTACCAACCAAGCTGGGGTCTTGCAAATGTGCTGCTCAGTGCCTGCCCCTTCCCAGAGACTGGCACTAAGCTGTTTAGCTCCCACCTGACACTGGTATGGCAATGACAGAAGCTGGCGTCTCAGTGTGGAGAGCCATCAAGAGTAGAGGTACAAAAAAATTCTTGTGATCAAGTCCTGGAGATAGACATGTAGGTGTGCACATGTGTGTGTATACATAAATGTGTATCTATGATGTATATACATTTCTATATAAAAAAATGTGTGTGTAGAATCATAGAACTATTTAGGTTGGAAACAACCTTTAAGATCATCACATCCAACCATTAACCCAACACTGCAAGTCCACCACTAAGCCATGTCTCTAACCACCATGTCTACATGTCTTTTAAATACCTCCAGGGGTGGTGACTCAAACCCTTCCCTGGACAGCCTGTTACAATGCTTAAAAATGAATGCTTCCAGTGAAGAAATTTTTCCTAACATCCAATCTAAACCTCTCCTGGTGTAACCTGAAGCTGTTTCTTCTTGTCTTATCACTTGTTACTAGAAGAGACTGACACTCACCTCACTACAACCTCCTTTCACGTAGTTGTAGAGAACAATAAGGTCTCCCCTGAGTTTCCTCTTCTCCAGGCTAAAGAACCCCAGTTCCCTTAGCTGCCCCTCACAGGTCTTGTTCTCCAGACCATTCACCAGCTTTGTGGTCCTTCTATGGAAATGCTCTAGCAGCACCTCAATGTCTTTCGCAGACAGCCATGCACTATGGAAAGTTAAAGGGCACAGGTGGAAAGCTAACTCATATAAGGACTTATGGATGATTTATATTAAAGAAATAAATTTAAGATTTGGATCAGTTTGAACGTATTCTCACCCTGCTCAGAGGTGACTAAAGGTGTAACAAAATGGTCTGGGAAACATTCCCCACTTCTAAAAGGCAGTAATGGACAGCAAGAGTATAACACGAAAATATACAGAAACCTTTTCTTTCAAAAAAGTTGAAATGGAGGTGGAAAAGTGGTATTTTCTGAAGTGTCTCTACAAGAAAGAAGGCAGGAGTTTCTTCAGGAGCAGGACTAGCTCAGTTGAAAATGAGCTGACAGCCGCATGGGTTCTGAGAAGCACTAATTCTCTTTTTGAAGAGTTGGCCACTTACACTGGAAAAACACAAATAAATGGGGAATTAATCATCTTGGCCAGAAATTACTTAAGGGAGCCAAAAGCTGGCTGAAAACTGTTGCAAAGGCAGAAATATAATGGAGTAAATGATCAAAATATGGGTAAAATGACACAACCAAAACTTTTCCCAAAATGCTATTATTAAGACTAAATCAGATGCCCAGAATGTTGAATAAAGACATTAGTATACTACTAAGAGCCAAAAGAAGAAGAAAAAGAGAAGGGATCCTTCTGATAAGAGTCCACTGGAACAGTGTAACAGGACAAAATGATGTTACTTCATAACCTCTTAACTTGCAGGAAAAAAAACACCTTAAAACAACAGCAGGCATAAAAACTGTACAGAGCTTTTACCGCTTCAGAGATTAGCTCTCTGCATGCTGTAGATTTTGTAAATTTATGATATTACAGCCATTCAGAAAGTGATTTTTAGGATCTCTTTCACAAATGAGGATGAATTTCTTTTCACAGTAGAAAACAGTGGTCATGAACTAATCCTCAGTGATCACGAATTGATGAAATGCATCAATGGCTTGCTAAAGCCCCAGAAAAAAACACTTTTCCAAAAGAAAACAAGTAAAATTAAACCACACATCTGTATTTTGTCAACTGTGAGCATAATCACAGAATTTTGTGAAGTTTGAAGCTGAAGGGCCACAACAGGGGGAAAAGGACAACTTCAGTTTTCAGAAATCCTGGATCAGAAAAGAAAATTAACCAGTAATATAAAAACAGAAGAGGAGGAACAGAGCAAACCCCAAAATTATTGAAAAATATAAACCAAAGAATTATCTGGGTGAGCAGAACAAGGAACAATATGAAATTTAAGGATAGTGAGAAGGGAAAAACTTCAAAAACATTTGCCCATTATTAGACAGTAAATCCATTAAAAAAGTAATTACTCTCTACTTGAAAAGAGTTAAGATGATGTGTTTATATCATAGGAGAATGAGATAATATTTTCCTCACCAACAAAAGAATGTTAAAAAACATTACAAAGTGCTAAACTCCTAAATTTAAGCCAGCAGATTTGGGTAACTTGCATTCAAGAGTCCTAAAGCATCTACTGATGTTACTTGCTAAATAAGTACTAGCACACTCTTAAGTCTTGTGCTGATGAGGAAAGCTTCCAAAGACTGAAGGACTTTTAATGTTGGGCCAATATTAAAAAATGCAAGGAGGGAGTGAGGCAACTGTCGGACAATGCGCCTCAGTAAAATAAGAGCTGACCGAGGCTTCTACTGATCATACAAAACAATGTGTTCTTATGGAAAAATGTTTCAAAGCAAAACCCTTTTCTTCACAGTAATGAAGTATCTTGGCTGGGGAAGTTTTTGAAAGATATTCCTACTTTATTTTCTTATTCTTAAAATTTCACACAAAATCTTTCTTGCCAAAAAATTTGACACTTATTTTTAACCTATAATATAACTGTGAAGATCAATTTAAATATAATTTCACTTTATGTACTTCTTGTTGTTTTTCACTTTAATATTCAAAACATATCTTTAGAAGATTTTTGCCCTGAGGTATGAGGTTGCCCTAGGAAGTTCTGTTTGAATTCTCTTTTGGAGGATTAGAGCAATAGTCAGAATTAAATACATCATTAGAAATTTAAATGGCAAAGCATATAATTCTGAACAGTAGACAGTGGGAAGAAAGTTGTATTTTATAAGTTGGCTTAAACAGCTGTAAGTGCCGAAGATCTAGGACAAGAGAAAAATGTCCCTTTGGTTAGTGTTTCAAAGGTTGCCCATCACAATGAAAAGGAACACAGGCAAATGTATATAGGGGAAAGCATATGCTTCTTAGTAAAGAAGGGAAAAAGGTTCATTTGGCGAGGTGGTACTCACATCACTGCCTGGAGCGTTTGAGTGCTCACACCAGACCAGCCTCTGCTGTATGTTTTGACAGAATGCAGCAGATTCCTCTTGTAACCTGTTCAGTGTTGTCTTCGTTTGGGTTCTCAGCGGGCCAAAGACCAGTAGTATCAGAGTGCCCTACTCTGACAACTTGTGCAGAAAGACACTGGAAGTATGCCATTATCTCCCTATACATCCCGATTACTTCATGGTGAAAAATGATACTATCTTTTATGTGAAAGTCACTTTTGCTTCTGTCTCTCTGTAGAACCTGGGACTAAAGTTAAGATCAAGATGGCCAGTTCTCAGTGGATTTTGCTATATACAAGAACAAAGACACAGAAAGTCACTTAGCTTACAAGCTTCACATTTGCAAGAAGGAAAATTTCGTAAGAAAAAGCATAGCAAAATAAAGAGAGCTAAGTACCTTTATCCTCAGAGTATAGAATCTTGCCTACCTAAGGTGAAATGACAATATAGGTGTCCAATGTATCTATTTTACTTGCTAACAAGCACGCATTACCACTAGGATTTTTTAGTTGTTACTGTTAGCTTACTGCATTATTATTCTTAGTCCTGATGACTATATTTTCCTTTAATCTCCTTAAATTCTTTGCACTTCCTGTTTATTTTACTGTTGTCTATTAAGCATTGTTCTATGTGTAACTGCTGCTTCTACATCATCACATTTCATCAGAATGAAACTGAAAATACCAATACAGAAGCATGGAGGCCATCAAGAATGTTAGTTGCACTCTTGATTGATGTTTTAGTAGTCAGTCACTGTAGACTAGACATCCATATCCTGAGAACTCGGATGTATTTTGTGTTTTTCTAAAAGTGCCAGCTCCTACAATCTTATGATTATTTTACAATGTTTGGTCTCTCCTGCCTTACGCTTGAAAACACCCATACAGCCCTCTTAACGTGGAGATGTTTGCATGACATTCAGCTTCATGGAAAAGTAATTTTCAGAGGTTAGATCTCCAGCAGATCTATAGGCGTGTTCAAACCAGATAAGGCCAAGCTGGTGTGCGCCAGAGCAGCTGGTGTGCGCCAGAGCAGCTCTGTCCCCAGTCATCTGGGGGACAGAGGCCAAAGGACAAAGTCTAATGGATGGAAGATGGGGAAGATCACCCACTAGATGATTACTGGGATAATCAGTGAAGGAAAAGCTCCTGTCTTTTCAAAACCAGGACAAGTTCAAGAAGAACAAGTTATTGAAGAACCCATTTCATAGTTTAATGAGTGAACAATACTCAACAGAATAAAGACAGCTTTGATCCCTACTAGAAAGATCGATGTATCCTGACATTACCAGTCTTATGCCCTAAAGGACTGAAGGGAATTGCTTAGACCAGTAATAGCATCTTGCAGAGAGCAAGATATGGAATTGCTTGGACAGAAAGACCATTCTTTAGAAGACGAATCTCAAATTAACCAGAAAGAAATTACTTCCAGATTCTATTTCCAACTTGTGGTATTGTCCAAGATCCCCTTATCTAAAATTAAGATTATGAGGAAAAAGAAGACGTTTGTGTGCACTACAGCTCCTGCAACTCAGGGCAGTTAACACAACTTCAGCTGTCAAATTTCAAATAAAGCAAGAAAGATAAAAAATGAAAAGTCTCCCAAAACCAGAAAATGGAAGAAGGCTAAAGTATGGACAAGCCAAAGAGCCCCTGATGTCAAATGAAAGCTGCTCAGTGTGAATAGTTATGTAGGTCACTCAGTACCTATCTAGGTCACCTTTGCAGATTTAAGCAAGTAATTTGCTCTTTCAAAGGAATTACCTGGTTTAGTTACCCACTTGCAGATTAACACTACAAAGAAATGTCTAGTAGCAAAGGCAACACATACTACATGCATGAATAATCTGAAAAGTAATTCAATGAAAGGACATCTTAAACCCTAACAGATGCAAGAAATTAGAATTTATCTACACAGAACAGAGCAGACATCCAGGCAAGAAAATCAGAAAACCTGACAATTTCAATATATGAATAAGAAAGGTGGCTTGTTCCTGGTTTGGAATTCAGCATTCATCAGTATGTGGCATTCTAGTCTTTCAGCATAGGAAGGATTATAATTTTCACTGCAAATAAAAGAAGCTGATGTTCAGTCATCAGGACAATACCTAGGCAATAGTGTTCTGGTTCTATAGCATTACTTGCAGGAGAAGAGCCAGACTGAACTAAAATGGGTTACTTCACACCTTCCAGGCACTGATGAATGCATCTTTGATGTCATAGCCTGAAGGAAGGAGGAGGCAAAAAGTCCAAATTCAGTTGCCATCTGTTTCCCTAAATTAAAGGCAATAAAAAGCCCACACATACACAAGACCATATTTAGAAATCTGCAAATTTTATGGATCTAGAAATGACAGATTACAGACCTCAATAACTAGAGGGCAAATGAGCAGTTGTGAAACCGTCCATTCTGGAAGAAAAAATTAGCAACCACTTTAGTCATATGTTATGTTCCACAGGATGTCAGAAAGACAGAGATAAGGAATGAAATGGAAGAAAGCACTAACAGCAAGACAAATTACGCTACTGCTGTCTTCCTTCTCCAAATTCTAATTATAGAAAGACTCCAAAAAATTAAAAAGCAGCTTGTAGTTTACTCTCATTTCAGCATTATCACCAAATAGAAGATGGCTTAGCCATAAAGTTTACACTCTATTCTTCAGTGATTTCCTGCATTTAAACAGTACAATAGCTTTTCTTCTGATTAAGCCTTTTTGCTACAGTTCTTTGGTGGGAAAGAAGACTCACAGAATAAAAGTAGCTGAGCTAATACAAAAAATTACTTGTATTTTTTTAGTAGATGAGTGATCATAAGTCTCACTGAGTGGTGCCAGCCAATCCTGGAAATCTTCTTAAATGATATTACCTTATATAAGCCACGTATGCCCTCTGTCTTGTATATCTTTACAAGAGCATCAAACATTCCTCTGTATTGCCGCTTTGATGGATCAACACCAGCATTATATTGTAGCACAAGTCGTGTCTTCGTTACCCATATTGGATTTGTAATACAGAGAGTCATGGCTCCTAAGAACAGATAGAAGTTAGACTGATTGTTACACCAACTCTAAAGCTTGTCCCAGTTTGTTCAGTCCAATGTACACAGGCTTCTACAATGACAAAACTACTTATCCTACAAGAGTACTCATATTACTTAAAACAGGCAAAATTTATGCCCACCATTTTTCCCTCTCTCTGCCTTCAAAGCCCACCATCAAGTCCAACCTACTCCTGCTGAGGGTACTTCTGTAGAGCATACAGCTTTTTGTATATTCCTGGTACATCCCATTTTTTGCCTCACCTTTCCAAAGTCAGCAGTGTAATCCATACTACCTAAGAAATATAATATTGCTTATACTTCAATGTTAAGTGAATGAAAGACTAATGACCAATTCACTTAGTCTATTAACTTCAACAAGCCTTCTCTTTTCCAGGTCTAAGTGTTAAACATTTAATGAGTTAACAAGGTGACAGCAGAAGATTTATATAGTTATGTTTCAGGACTCAATATAGTACTAAATATGGAAAACACTTATACGCAATGAAAACAAGGTCGAAAGGTATTCTGACAACTGCTATTTCTGAGCAAAACTGAGAAGACCACAGTGATCCATCTATTCATCTTAGACATCATTAATTTATTTACAATGACTGCATTTGGACTTGAACACTTACACTTGCCACCTGTAAGAAAAAGCAGCACTGACACACAAAGGCAGGGAGCAACATATGGAAAGGGGAGAAGCAAACATTAATCTTCCTTGCATTTAAACTCACCAGCCTCTGCAGCTGACACGAGGTGTTCAGTTGCACTGAGACTTTCCAGCTTCCCATCTTTCTTGTAAGCTTTGATGGCATTGTAACTGGAAAACGTGAAATATATTTTGGTAAAGGTGAAAAAAAAACCCAAAACAAAACACCTCACTTAAGATCATGGAAAACATTAGGTGATATGCAGCCTTTGAAAACAGAGCTAAGCAATCTCTCTTTGTTTAGTTGATTAATTGATCTCTGTGCAGTTAGCTCTTCAAAGTGCACTATGGTAATACATATTTAAATTGATAAAGCATTACTGTCAGTAACAGTGGGACTGCATCTTGAAACAGCTACTGGATCTCAAGAATTAACCTCCAAAAGAAACCGATTAGATAGCCCCCTTTTTACTGAGAGCAAGTGACAAGTCACAAGTATACTGAGTTAGACAACTGACAAGTGAGGCTTACATAGGCATACCAACTAACTACTCCTTTAAGTATTTGAATTAATAGGGATCAGCAGTAAATCAGGCCACAATTACACAGCTAATAAAGTAGAAAAGATTGACTATTAAAAAATGGGCTTCATAAAGCCCATCAACTCACAAAAACAATGAAAGAACTGACTGTCACAAAAATTATTAAAAATCAGTTAAACATTTAGCTTTAGTAGAAAACTTTATTATGTTCTCTAATTCTTAACACATCCGGTTTTTATTTTTTGTGAGGTTTTAAGCACAGTGTATTGGGACTTTTAGAGGATTCTTCATGAATGATGTAACCGTCTCTCAAGTTCCTTAGTATTTTCACAGCATCAGGGGAATGCACTGTACCTGACAAAGTAACAGGTCTCTGACTCAAACTGCTTAAATTCTAAAACAGCAAACCACAATAAAGTGTAACAGACCTGGACTTGCTAGAAGAATCACAAGTTTATAAGCCACTTAGCACATTTTTTTACTCTACAAAGATGCAGTGCTATCTGAACATGACTTTGCACAGGACATGACACATTTTACAGGTCTACTTACAAGAAAAAGTAAAGTCCCCAGGAAGCCCCTGCTCCCAACATGTTTGGAGTTACCCCTTGATATAAGCCTCGGAGTCCTTCATGCTTCCAGACAGTGGTCATACAGTGGAGTATCCCATTGTATTTTGGCCTCAGCTCCAATCCATCGCTTACTATGAAAGAAATAAATTATACTGAAAAACATTTCAGGAAGCACAAAGTTCAGTTGTGTAAAAGCCACTGCAGAAGTACACAGCCTCCAAAACAAGCTGCAAATGAACATGAAACCTAACTGATCAGCTGTGTTTTAAAAGTATTCCTTTAAAAGCACGCAAGAGTTGGTGTTTATAGCTTCTTAAGTCTAAAGAACTTAAAAAAAAACAAGGAAAAAAAAGAATTTTTAAGCTCTGCAAGAATCAAGTTCCCACCAATCTGACAAGGCTAAAAAAATGCACATTTTGGTCAGCAGCAGCTTTGAAGCTTTTTGTCTCTTTTTAGCACCCCAGCAATTTTGTATCATATTTCAAGTGATACATGTGGGGTCTTTGACAACACATTTCTATAAGGAGTTCAGACAAGCCCTGAATAACCACTCATATTCAATCTTCCTCTTTAAAATGTTCTATAAAGATCTGAATATTTCCAATAGGTAATGTCTTACTGATTCCAAAGTCAGTTTTTACCAGAACACTCAAAGGAATTTTTGATGAAAACAATCTGTGTTCTGCTTCTATCCTCATTGAATGGATTTGCAAGGAAACACCAAATGCATACACTTCCCCTATCCAATAACCAAACAGTTGGTTGTTCAAATATTCAGAAATTATCAGTCAGAAAGATAAAAATCATGCAAGTTTTTTGTTTGACAGACTTTATTTAGAGCACAGATGTTGACACAACCTACAGTGGTAACCACTATTGCTCCTACCATAACCACAGCAGCAAGAGAGTAAGTTGATTAATGATGACATGTAATACGGCACATGTTGAGATGACGACATTAACAGGCACAAGTTGGAACAGAGGGAATTCTGAACAAAACTTTTTCTCCATCAGTGGTCAAATACTGGAACACGTTGCCTGAAGAGGCATCTTTGGAGCTACTCAAAACTCTAGCAGACAGGACTCTGCAATCTGATCTAACCTTATCTGAGTAGGGGGTAAACTCCATAGATCTCTTCTGATCTAAATTACTCTATGATACCAACATGGCATCAACTTTCACTCTTAGTACAGGGGGTGAGATTGCAATTTTAATGAAAATTAACCCCAAAGTTTTACAGTCGGCGTAGTTTTTGTGTGCCCATCAAGATTAATCCTGGTAATCATTAATTTCCAATGTTTTCTGTTCAGTGCCACATCTATTATTCTTTCTCCTTTGAACTTTGTGTATAGTACTGTACATTGTGACAAGACTTCACGACTAAAGACAAATGCTTTTTCTGAGCATACTATGTCAAGGCCTCAACACCTTGACAATCACTCAAAACTAGAACACAAATTAAACGCCTCTTTTCTCCCTGCTGAATGAGCACTACTAGACCTTTCCCAAAGATCTTTCTGTATTTTTTTACCATGCTGCTATTTGGTCAGGTTTATAAACGCATTAAACAACATGGCAAATCAGAAACATGAATGCAAGTCTGTCTTGATGCTGCTGAGAATCTTCACAACGCTGATTTCTGATATCAGCTCTTACTTCCTGCTTGAAAATAAAACATAAGAATCATTATTTTCAATCCAAACAAGCATGTGAAAGTGACCTCCAGAGATCACCTAATCCAATCCCTGCTCAAAACAGATCTAACTAGATCAGGTTACTCAGGGACATGACTAGTGGGTTCTGAATGCTTCCAAGACTGAAGAGATTACAGTCTCTCTGGGTAACCTCTTCCAGTATTTGACCACTCTTACAGTAATAATCCTTTTTCCTAATAAATGACTGGAATTTTCCATGTTCCTGTTTGTGCCTCTTCCCTGTTGCCCTACAACTATTCACCTCCAAGAAGAATCTGTCTTCACCTTCTCTGTGTCCTCCAATTACACAGTCATAGACCGTAATAACACTCCCCTCAGCCTTCCCTTCGTGAGGCAGAACGGATCTGATCCTCTTCTGTCAGCCTGTCCTCCCATGTCATGCACTCAGCCCCTTCACCAGTCTGGTGGCCTCCACTGGAATCACACCAGTATGCCAATGTCTTCCTTGTAGTGGTGAGCCCCAAACTAGACACAGTACTTCAGATGTAGTCTTACAAGTGCAAAATAGAGAGAAACGAGCACTTCTGCTAACTACTCTATAATACAGCCCAGGACGTGCACACACTAGGATGTGCAGAAAATTGTTTAAATCCAACTTCATAAAAAGTCTCATTTGGAAATGTAGTGCTTTACATTTTGAAAAGTTCTCTGTGATAGTTCACTATTTGTTTTTGAGATCTTAAAGATCTTTAAGATAACCCAAAGATACAGTAAAATCATAATATTCTCTTTTATAGAGTTTGAAACAAAGGGCAACATGTTTCTCATATTAACAGCAAAATCAAGAGGGACAAGCTAACATGTTTCCCTGCAGAAAAACAAACAAGATTAAGAGTTTTCTGCAAAACAATATCCCTACTGTTAATAACCAACATTGCCATAAAATAGTTATGCTTGGTATCGAAAATCTTTGGCATAAAGGTGAACTCTGAACACGGTCTTGCGAAAATCCGCCTGCTAAAAACCGACAATCCTGCGGTATCCTAGTGGCACTAGGGGTCATGGAAGAGAGAAAAAAACCTGGTCAAGTCTCTATCTGCCTAAAAAGACACTCGGCGTATTATATAGCCCCTAGAAACGACAGGAAGATTAAGCTTTGGGAAGAAGCAGACACCGTCCCTTTCGGCCTACGGCCCGTCCATGCCAAGCCGTGGGGCTGTGCTGCCAGCGCCCGCTGTCCTGTAGCCTCACAGAGGCCCGGGCAAAAGCCTGCAGGCTCAGCCGGCCGCGCCTTCCTCCACAACGAGCCGGCGGCTCGGAAGCGGCGAGCTCGGTGAGGCCTGCAGGCGTTTCGCACACGGTCCGGGACGTCTCTGCAGGGCAGCCGGGCTTGGGGCCTTTCCCTGCCGCCACACCCACCGCCGCAGCAGGTGCCCGGCCCCGCGGGGGCAGCCCCACGCCCGGCCGCTGGGAGCCACGACAGCCCCCGCTGGCGGCACCGCGGCCTCGGGGCGCGGGATGGGCTGGGGCGGAGGGAGCGGCCGGTACGGCCTCACCTGCGAAGCGGATCTTGACCAGGTCCAGCGGGTGCAGCACCAGGGTG